CTAAATGTGTTACTGACATCCCTGCTACTTTAAATTAGATCAGATTTAGATTCCCCAGAGGACTAGCATGTTTAAAGTTAAAACCCGAAAGGTAGCGTATCCATATAGTTTATGAGAGCAACACCAGCAATTACTAACTTTGCCTTATCTTCCAAGGACCAACCTGAGTGAATACAAAATAGTATATTTACTCATAGATGTTTCTTGTATTTATATTAAAACAACCAAGAGTTTCCCCTCCAGTATCCCAAAATCTTTCCTATATAAAATCACAGGACATTCACATATAAAAAAAGCATTACAAGTGGAAACTCAAAAGAGGAGAAAAGCAAGATGAAAAAAATAGTGCAAATGGCTAGGTTCCCAGCTGGCTTAGGATTAAGAAAAAAAGATGGAGTATCACAATTTGAAACAGGGGCAAATAAATGGTACTCTCACTTTTCTGCTGCATGCCAGAAATTTATTACTGACACATAGTAAGTTTTCCTATCCTAGCATCTATTTTATATATATATATATATAAAATGTAACACATTACGGGACAATAACTTTTAAGGCTCTTAACCTGCCTTATAAAGGAGCCTTGGTAATAATTATTTACCTTTTGATTAACTCCAAGCAAGCAATGTACTGAATCTTCAGTAGATGATTTCGGACCAGGGCACTTTGCTTCTGAAGGTACTTGTGCAGAGCAAGAAATTTTTGAAGTAGTTATGGGAAGGAGATGCACTTTCACAGAAGCAGAGGTAGCGTCAGGTGCTTTCACAGAATTGGAGGCTGAAGTGAGCGTTTTATCTTGATCATTTCTTCGACTGTTATCAACAGGTTGGATTTCATGCTGAAGCTTGTTTCCAAGTACTTGGTATTTATTCTCTGATGAAGCATTTACAAGTTCAACACTTACTGGTTTTCCTTTTTTTTTTTTCTGGTTCATTTCCTCTGCAGCTAACTTTGCTTTATTAGCGTCTTTAAAGGAAAGAAACGCGTATCTAAGGCACAAAATTAAAAAACAAAAACCAAAACTAAGTAAAACACCTATAAAGTTACTATCAGTAAGAACACACGATGGTTCTCATCTTTTGCATATTAACTGCATCTCAGACTCCTTCTCATAAGCTGAGAAGCTGTCTGCAATGTCAACCTATGCATATCTACATTAATCACAGAAAGTAATGAACAACTCCCTCCTCTCTTCCATGATTCACTTACATTGTTCGAAAAAAATCGGAAGCAAGTACAACTTGTATTAATATACCTGTAGTTACTAGAATCCACAGAGATGACAGTGTCAGAAATCTGATACTTCTGGAAATGTGCTCTTAGGTCACCCTACAAAATACAAGCATATTTGTTTGCAAATGTATAGAATGAAAGAATTCAGAAAAGAGACAAGACATTATTACTGCTACTGTGTAAATAACAACAGGCATACCTCTGACACTGAGGAACTTAGGCCACCAACGTGAATAAAAGAACACTCATTTCCACTCTCCATTATCTTCGCTTCTAATAGTAAATGTAAGAAAGTAAAGTGTTACTATTGCTTTGGTTCAATCTAACATCTTCTCTGTAGATTTCAGAAAGCATAAATAGAAAACCTTTAAAAAAACCTAGAAGAACGAAGAGTATCTTCTAACAGAAAATAAGAGTGTCACGAGAAGCAGAACAGTTCAGTTTGTGAAATCTCATTTCCCTGAGTACTTCCTGAGGGTTAAAGAGGCAGAAGAGATACAACCAGAGCAAACAGGTACAACAGAACTAACAGGTACCAGTGCTGAAGCATGGGTAGTGCACTGTGAGTCCCCACCACAGAGCACACAAGCTCTCTGCTTTCAACACACTGGAACCATGCCCATCACTGGGATCCAAGTCTCCGAGCACAGACCATTCCCAGCCAACTCTTAAGAAGCCAGTACAGGGAAGTAAGCAGAAAGAGGAGGAAGAGGAAAAAAAGATTTCCAGCTACATGATTGGATGTTTACTAAATTGAGTTTAATCACTGCAGGTCAAGTTTTCAAGAAAAAATATGGATAAAAAGAGCTGAATATCTATATACACATTCACCAGAAGTCAATGAAAAAGTCAGTCTGAAAACACAGCTAGCATTTTTTCCAAGTTTATTTGTGCTTGTAGAAGGAACAGAATAATAAGCAAACACCATTATTAGGTACAGCAGCTTAAAGCACATGACCTCACCTCTTGAATCAACTGTGTCTTGTTTTTCTTGTTGCTTTTTTGTTTCTTCAGATATTACTGAAAAATCTGTTACTGTCAAGTCCTCTTTAGCATCAAACCAACGTTCATTCCTTTCTTCATTTTTCACACAGCCTTAACAGTTGAAATAAATTTCAGTGTGTTAAAATTCAGACCACGGTGGTTTAGTGGTGGAATGGCAGTGTTAGGTTAACGGTTGGACTTGGTGATCTTAAAGGTCTTTTCCAACCTAATAGATTCTATGATTCTGTGTCATATGAATGAATATCAAATTTCTGTGTGCTTAAGAGTATTCCAGCTACCTATGTGACTTGGCACTACGTTATGAAGAGGTGACACATACTAGTTTTCACTTCTGATTTAAGCATCAAAATTTTTTTTTTTTTTTTTTAAGATGTGAAGTATAATAGAGCTGATATAATGTTAAGCATACCATCACAGAAAGGACAGTGGAGTATCCATATATATGCTTTACACAGTTTGTTTGTTTTTTCCCCCAACAACTTAACTAACAAATAATGTAGTATTTGTACTAGAAGCAGATCGCTTACCACATTCCACATCCTGATCTTTAGGTTGTTCTTCAAATGTCTTGGAGGAAGTAGAGTCACTTGGCTGACCGAGATCAGTTATACATACAGTCTGTGGATTGTCCTACAAACACGTTTCAGTTATGTCATAGCATTTGCACCTGATTATATGTTATTTTTTTGAGCTTCAGAATATTAATTGATTAAACAGGTAAATTTTTAAAAGTTAACCTAGTGATCATCTTCAAGAACCCCCAAGTTATTTTATTTTGAAAGGACAATCAAAATTCTGGTCACATCAGCTGCATTTGCAATTACTGGCAGAGAATCGCAGCTTGAGCCCTGAAGACTGTGACTGTCTTTGCACATACCTAAAAGGAGTCTATGCTTCACAACATGAATGTCTATGAAACTCGGTACTTAGGAGGTCCTTACCATGCTGACAGAAGTTTTCCTTTCTTGCACTTCAAAGCAAGCTCTTCTTGCGCCTGAAACAGAACTAAAACAGATCCAAGAATTTCATACAAAGTATGGCACAACAATTTTAAATTCTACAATGATACCAAGTACTCTGAAATATTAATTTAAATATTTCCAAAAGCTCACAGTAAAATAAATAAAACGTGCTTAATAAATCTTAGCTTAAAATGAGAACCGAAGTTTTTGATACCTGTATTTTATAAAAGCATTGGTTGCAACCTGAAACATAAAGCTACGTTCTAGGTTTACGTTAGGCCATTTTTCCTTTATACCCAGATGGCTTTCTGTGTGATGTTTTGATGTACGTCTTTACAAGTTGAAATCTCTGTGCAATTTTTGGTTCATTTTACAACGCTTAACAAGAAATTTGAAAAAGTTCTCTAGTTGTTTGCCTGGTGCTGTAAAAACTTATTGCCAAATTTGTTTTAATCTCCACTTACATGAAGTAACTGGACATGATTCTTGAATATGTAGTATCATACATCTGTCTGAAATACAAAGTTATTTTTCTATCGTTCTTCATAACTGAATGATAAACTTAGCAGGATAGCTGCTTATATGCCGTATATTATCTTTGTTAGCAGCAAAGTCTTTTTTGTTTTGGTAGGGGTTTTGTGGGGTACTTTTGTTTGTTTGGGGTTTTTTATGTTGTGGTTTTTTTTGTTTAAGGCAGATAGCATCAAGATTAGAGACAAATATTTTAGTAGTGCAAATAGGGAACCAGGAAAATTACCTGTAAAGAAATTTTTTGCTATAAATATAGTAAAGATACAATTCCATAGTTTGCATATTAGAACACTACAGAGTAAAAATTACCTTAAAATAAAAATCACTGAACCCAAAGTGCCATGCTAGTCTTTCAGCTAAAGAGTTTGGAACAAGAAGATACATCCCGAAATAAAAAAATTCCAAGTTTAACATCTTTTAAACTCACTTCTCATTTATTTTGAACTTTAATAAATACCACAAATGAAGATTACTTACTCATAGCAAAGATCCTCTCTGAACAACTGTCAAAACAGAAAAGATTTGTCTTAATTTTCTGAAGAAAATAATTTGTATTAAAAACAAAAAGCAATTATGAAATTACCTTGCATGGGACATAAGAAGAGGAGATTGGAAACAACTTCATCTCAACTGATAGCGGTGGAAGCGCATTTAAAGGTATGCCCATTTTTATTTTAATTCTCATACTGTTGTAATTCTTTTTTAGCTCTTCCAAAACCAACATGAGAGATGATCTTAATTCAGTATTTCCATTACATCTGTTAAAATATGTGTAAGAAAATAAGAACAACTCAGACACACATTTCATTTATTTTACTGCTTCCAGAATTGCCCAAACATTTTACGGCGTTTAAAGACTCCACCACATCCTGCAAGAACAGGAGCTTACTCCGAACGCACACAGTAGCTCTCTGGAGCCGTACTCCGTCTCACAGCATTACCAGGTGCTCTCCCGAACCCCCTCCTGAGCTATGAAGCAGACACTACAGTAATGAGGTTTGGTAGCTATCTGCGGCACAGTAAAGCGTTCAGAGGCAGGACTTCTTAGTTGAATTCCAGGTTTGTTACAGGCGTATGCTTTATCAGCTAGAGACTCTGCAATCACCACCACCTTCCTGCCTCACCTCTTAACAATCCTGCACCTCCTCTCTCTTTCTCCTTTACTGCCTCCTCCCCAGCTCCCCCTCTATGCATCTCACCCACTCCTGAATGGATTCTCTGTACTATTCCTTCTGTACTTCCTCTCCTGTGCAGAAAGACATTCCTGGAAACAAACTGTGCTTTGCTGGGTCTGTGAATGCTACAGAAAATTTTAGGCTGAAAATAAGACTTGGCAGTTACGAGAACGTAAACTCTTTTGGACAACAATGCTAGCTATAAAGACTATTACAAGCTATGGATAGAATACATCAGTAACATTTAGCAACTAATGCCTTTTAACCAAGTTATCCATTTCATTTAAAAGGACATTAAAGTACGTGCCTGCTAAAACACAGGTTTTCCTCCAGAGCCAGTTTGTAAATCTTCAAGCAGTGCTGATAGCACATCTGATAATGAGTGCTTAGAATCTGCAGTTCTGCTTCAATTGCTCTCTGCAGTATTTTTTGACAGTAGCTTGATGCAGAATTCTTCATGGCTTGTTTGTCGAGGTGTACCAGCCTTTAAAATAATAAATAGAATCTTGAAACCCTTGAATCAATAGTTTACATTCATTATGTTTTATTTTAAAACAAGTTATTTCTAGAAGTTTTATCTGATAAGATTTAAGGAAAAAAGAAAAGAAAAATTAAATCAGTTCTTCCTATTTACTACACAGGAAAAAATATGTCTTACGGTAGCTTTCACATTATAATTAGCCTTAACTGAGAGGTGGAAACTGCACAAGCACCATAGTAATTTCTATCTAAAATGTGCAGTCGTAAGAACAAAAAGAAACTCACTTATTTTGTTTCCACAGTCAGAGAATAATTTAGTTTGGAAGGAATCCCTGGAGGTCTGCAGTCCAAACCTCTGTTCAAAGCAGTGCTAACTTCAAAATTAGCTTGGGGTCTTATCCAGCCCAGCTTTGTTGTTGTTTTGGTTTGGTTTAAATCTCCAGGAAAGGAGACCACACCATCTCCCCAATCCCGTTCCAATACTATTGTCACCGTAAGAAACTTTTTCTTACACCCACTTAGAATTCCCCTCACTTCAACTGCTGGCTCTTGCCCTGTCAAAACACACCTCTGTAAAGAATTTAACCCTGTCTTTTGAGCAGCCCACCATTAGATTGCCAAGAACTGCAGGGAGGTTCCCCACCTCCTCAGCCTTCCCTTCTCTAGGCTGACCAAACCCAGTTCCCTCGGCTCTCATCAGGTGCTCCACCAGATCCCCTCACCATCTCCATGGTCCTCAGGTGCGCCTTCCCCAGTCTGCCAATCTCCTTCCTGCACTACAAGGCCCACAGCCAGAGATACCTTTCCAGATGCAACCTCACGAGCACCAAACTGAGAAGAAACAACACTTCCCTCCATTCACTGGCTGCACTCTTGCTAATGCAGCCCCAGGATGTGGCTTCCCTTCTTCACCATATGGGAGCACTGCTGACTTACACTCGACTTGTTCTTGGCCAGGCTGCAACTACAGACCAAGGCTGCTTTGGTCTTCATTCAACTTCAGGTCTTCAGCTCGTTCTTCTCACTTGTCCGGGTCCCTCTGAAAATCAGCCCTACCCTCCAGCATAGGAGCTGCTGCCCAGCAATCTTTTAGTACAATCAGTTTGGCTGACTGTCATGGACAACCTTACATTCATGAAAAACTTCTTATCCAGCCTCTAAAATTCCAAACCAAGAACAATTCATGACCCACCTGTCAGTGCTTATCTTTAAATTGCTGCTGCAAAGCTCATTTTTTGATTCCCACTGTTCCTAAACAAAAAACATTTTAAAAAGTTACAGATTAACATTTGTATAGGCAAGCTCCGAGCAACTTTAAAAAAAGTTCTATATATCAAAATTGGTTTGTTTTCTTTTTAAATTACCTGAATTTGTGAACTTCTTTCAGCTGTTGCAGTATTGCCATCTGAGTGTTCTTCCAGCATCTCAGTAAGCTGTGGCCAAATTTCCTCTTTATTACTGGCTCCACATGACCAGTCTGTATTGCAAGCAACGTCTGCACAGGTCTCACGGTGCCATCCCACGGGTCGAGATTTGTTCATCATTGTTATGTCTGTATTAATAGCCCTGGATGAGATACAAACCCCAGCACTGGTACTTCTGCTTGTTGTAAAGCAAGCTCTAAAATCAGAACTCACATCAACAGCCTGATTAACCACAGAGTCACTGGTAACGTTTTTCAAGTTTTGACGATGTTTCAACTCCGAGTTCAGAGAGCTGGTATTTCCATGGGAGGATTTATCTGCAACTTCCACCTCAGAAAAGGGATTCTTGCTAGTGAAAATTGCAGAGACTGGAAATGGGGTTTCAGCATCCTTTGCAGTGCAGTCAATACAGCTGGCACCACTTGTGCACACAACAGATTCTTCACAACTGTAGAAAGCAGAGTCCTCTGCACGTTCACAAAATTGCATGGCTACTGCAGGAGCCCTCTCCTGTGGTGAGAGCAAAGGGCTGTCTTGCTTCACTGAGATGCTGTGAACTTGTCTGTCATTGTTTTCAGACACTTCCTCAGTTGTAGCCACTTGGGGTGGCAGCGTGCCATCAATCAGTGGGATGACTTTCACCTCGCTGTTTTCTACACTGTCACATACAAGCAGATTTGGACAGGCCCTTTCTTTAGTCCCACAAGAATGACTTTCAAGTATACTTCCATAAGCAACGCTATGATACTCTGTTTGCTCCCTCTGATGATCACAAGTCACGCCATTACAATCTGGCAGAGAGTCCTGAAGCAGGTGGGGAAGCTCTGGCATCACTGCTTCTGGGCAGGTCTGGTCACCTATGCCATACTTGGAAGCACAACCATCTTCTGACACATCAACGAGATTTTGCTCCTTTGTGACTCCACCCCCTGGAACTTCATGAACTGGATCTATCAGCTTTAAGGCTTCGATTCCTATAGTTTCCTTTTGCTCAGAAAACTCACTTGAGCTATTCCCATAATCAAAATCTTGCTCATTAGCACTAAGATACTCCAGCTGTGAATCTTCACCTAAACAGCTTTGTCTGCAATCATCACACACCCCGCAATTAAAGTGTGTATTGTCACGTGCCCTTCCCAACATACCGTCTTCTTTCTTGCTTTCATCTACCTGTGCACAGCAAATTCTCATTCTCTTTTTATTATACATTTCGATATCTGCATCTAAAGATGAACTTAAATAAGGTAAACTTTCCTCTGACAATTTTAATTCTGAAACATTGACGGAACATGACTGGCCAAAACCAGAGGGGTTAGCTCCCGCTGCAACGTCTCCAACGAGCATGTGCTCAGCTTCCTCAGAATAAGAAAAAAGATGCGAGGTCTGATTGAAGTATCTCCTTTTGCTTTTAACATCGCTGTGCTTTTCTAACTCCATGGTACGAACACTTAAGTCCTCCTCAGAAGTCACCCACACAACTCACTTCCACTGCAACCTCTCAAAGTTATCGGCTTGTCTCTTCCTATGAGTTTCTCACCTTAATAAAAATAAGAGAAGTTGAAGATACTCCATGGTGTACAAGAGGACATTGCTCCTTAAAAAACGTGTTAAATTAAACATCTTATTATTACCTACTGCGTGCTAGTATAGAAGCTAGGAATTACACAGTACATTCTCAAAGAAATCTTAAGAGCTCACGGAAGGCTTTTAAAAGAATTTGCTGTTCTTGCTTGTGTGATTTCAATTCAGTAAAAGCATCCTCAGAGACCAATCAATCCTACTTCCCTAACTCTTGGGCAAAGTTTCCACCCTCTTACCACTGAAGCATTTCTTGGCTCAATCATCAGAATCCTTGCTGATATACAGCGAGCTATTTACACTGCACGCCAACTTCGTGACAGCCACACGGTGTTTCTATGCCTGTACTGACTCTGAGAGTCAGGATGCTGACGTTATCCTGGATTCAGTGACCACAAACTGACCTCGCATCATTCCTGATCGTGTACTTGGCCTGTAAGCACTCCTTGCCACAGACAGCTTACAGCTTCTTGATCCAAGACCAGTATATTTACTGTAGGGAACATCCTCCAGTCCAGGAGCTATAAAATTTTTAAAACTACTTAAATGAGTGAAGAGGTGAACTTAGAGCTCTGTGCCTTCTGAGAACTAAAAACCCTTCAGATGTTGGACAAGGGGGAAACAGAAGCATATTCCTTATAATTCTGGGGAAACTGAGCACAGAACTGTAAGAAAACCTAAGAATCTTTACAACCGAGAAATGTAAAACATAAGGGAAAGCAGGAAGATGGTTGCTTGGGTCAGAGCACTTCTTTTAGCTACAGAAGCAAGCTGGGCAATACACCAAACCAAAACAATACATCTGCTCTGGACTTGCAAACCTACCTAGGTTTTGCAATAGCAAATGTGAACAAAAAGCAGAGAAAAAGCATATAGGGATGGATACTTCACCTTTGTGAAGCTTGTTTCTTATAAATGGTTGCCAGTTCTCTTCTGCCTTCCCCCAAAGCTCTTAACAAAGAGAGGGATACATAGAAATGTTAAGCCATATTTCTCAGCTGGGTATGCTTTCTGCTGAAACAGAACCTAACAGTTTTCTATTACAGTCACAGGTCTCTAACCCGACTATAATCTTACACAAAGCACCGCAAATTACAGTCCTGTCTGTAACTCTTCCCCCTGCAAGGGCATGCAGACCAACCGAGAGGCCCATAAACTGGGTTTCATACCCTTCTAAAGACACAAGTCGCTGGTTTGTCCTCTAGAGGAAGTTTCCAGCTTGGTGAAACCCAGTCCGCAAGAAGCCCAGGGAAGTACTGAAGCAAGACACAGGCTGCTGGTGGAGCATGGGGGAGACTGCAAACCCAGGCCTGTTCCTAGGCCACTGCTCTGGGATTAACACACAAGTAACATGAGCGCTGTCCACACCAGATATAAACAGTGTGACCCAGGCCTCATATCTGTACAGGAAGGTTTGCAGAATGGACCCTTAGGAGATAACTTCACTACAGCCCTTCCTCACGGGGAAAACCAGCTTGTCTCTCTAACCTGCATTCACTCATCCTCCTCTGCTAAGGATCAGCATTAAAACGATGTCATTTAAAAATCACTTAATAAAAATAATTTAAATCATTTAACAGAAAGAAGTCACCCTCCAAAAAAAGCCTTACCGTGATTTCATTATGCACTTCTACAGTTATTTTTGTTTCACAAATGCTAGCTTTCTTAGTATACTAACTTTACCTTCGTCTCATAACTTCAGTTTTGAGCAACCGTATCTGTGAAATCAAAAATCTCGGCACAACGCTACCAAAGCGCATCTCAGATGCCTATATACAGATCACAACATAGTATCCCAGAGGAGCGAGGTTTTCCTCCTCACTTTTTTCCTTAAGAACGAGTTAAGAAACAAGAACGACAACAGCTGTAGGTATGCCCCCGGTACGTAACGATAACCTTGCAGGTACTACTAACGATGCACCTCAATGGTCGGATGCCAAGCCGGCTAGAACCCAGCACTGATACTAAAGCTCAGCTCCACACTCGGCAGTGCAGCGTGGAGAGCCACGGCTGAGGCCCCGGGGAGGAGGGGGGAGCCCTCCGAGCAGCCCGGTGCCCCCAGACGCCCAAAGGGAACCCCCCGGCAGGGAACCGCCGCTCACCCCGGCCCCAGGG